AGGGATTCTCTAATTCTGAAGCTTAACTGTCCTTCTTTCCATTCTCAAGCCAGAGGGTTGAGTGGGGTAACAGTCTGCAGGCAATGCAGGTTGCCCTGGATCTGGAGAATAAATGTGAACCAGAGTTTGCTGGATCTACACCAACTTGCCACTGCCCAGACTGACCCTCGTGTAAGCTTCGCCACCTCATTCTCACTGCTGGACCTTCAGGGCAAAACTTCATTGGTTAATCTTTGTAGACTGGAAGTTCACTGCTGTAAGACTTATTTTTTGTCCAAATATGACATTGCAGTCATCACTGTAGTTGAGGTGATCACAATGATGTTACAACTGCTCAGCAATGAGTTAAAATGGGAGTTTAGGTTATAATCTAGTCAGTGATTGGCCACTGAATTCTCACGCAGGCTGAAATGCTATTGCCCTCACTGGTGCAAATTCTCCAGGTGTTAGCTAGATTTTTAGGGCTGTCTGGAGCTAGTTATAGCTGAGTCTGTTTTGCAGCGGGAATTCTGAAATTGTCTTGGATTGTGTTAAACGCACCAAGTTGTAATATTACTCTATTTGCAGCTGTGACTTCCTGGAGACTCCCTATTTGGATGAGGTGAAGATCATCAAGCAACTTGGACTACATCAACCTGAAGCGCCTGGGAGCTCCTGAGAAAGGGATGGGAGAGTACCTGTTTGACAGGCTCTCCCTGGAGGACAGCAGTTAGTGTGGCATGGAGTATTGTCTGCTTGGTCTTAATGCATGACCCACTTCACCTGGACAATCTGGCTCCTTCCAGGGAGAAGGGACTTGTAGCAAAGAATGTAATGGCTGTACCAGCTGAATGGAAATGAATAAAATGATGATGTATTGATCTTGCTTATTGTCCATCATTCAGAGCACTGGATAACTTTGGTAGTTATCTTGAGTTTGAAGCAAGTAACTTTTCTGCAATTTGATTGGCTGATCAAATTACTAATTGGGCTAAAACACTTCATTGGTTCTATCCTCCAATTCCCACTCCACCCTCCATCAGATGAGGATAACAGGACATTCCTCTGACCTATGAATACAAGCTATTCCTCCACCCAGAACTTGATGTTGGGGTTTATGGAGTGCAAAGTCTTTTTTGTACAACAGTTATTACACTGCTGGATGTGATGCATACAATGGTAGGAAAAAGACTTTGGCTTCCCTTCTTGGCAAAGGGATTCTCCTACTCTTCACAAGGGAAGAGGAGACACCCAATTTCATGAACATCTAACAAACTGTTTCCATGTTCATGTCCAGGTTGTCCATCAAGAGCTTTCCTTCCTGCACCCCCCCCCCCCCCCCCACCAAAGTTTTATTGCTGACGAGATGTCAATTTGAAGACAAACCTACACAAGCTGGTACTGGGATAGTTGCTGCAAATGAAGGCCTAAGCAAGGAGGTCCAGCGGTTTGATTTCCATTGAGGTGGAAGAACCAGCTAATCTGGGAACAAGACAATCTCAACTAGTCTGGCATATGGGGCCATACAATGACCAGTAAATTCTACTCATGGCATAATCCCCTATAAGTGCAACCTAAGGTTATTGGAAATAGTTAGGGTTCAAACCAGCACCAGCACTGGGACCTGTAATATTTCCCCCACAGCCTCCCCTATTCCTACCACTAGCAATTGGGTATGCTG